ACACAGAAACAAAAAATTAATATTACTACCAATGTTTTCAACAAAATTTATGATCGGGAAAACAAATACAATTCAATTATAGAGCAAATGACTGGCGTTTAAATGAATGACTTTTCTTAGTGGTCTTCAAATTGCAAGCATTCACTCCAATATAACTTTTATAGTTTCCAACTTTTATTTATTTTATTGTAATTTATTTAATCATTTTTAATAAAATCAATACTTTAGTTGATTGAAAAATTTAACCACATTTTATTTCACAGAGTTATTTGAAACATATCATATCATCAGTAATATTTCTTGTTACAAAAAGAATTGCCAAATATTTTGAATGCTAATAAACAAAGGATTCATCACAATCAGCATTTTATCAATTATATATTTATCTTGTATATTGTCAATTCAAAAAGATAATAAATAAATAAATAATATTAAGTAAATGTACTATAGTTGAATTATTCTAATATCTACTTTGTATAATATATTATTATAAAATTTTTAATTATATATTAGTTTCTCAAATGATTTTAAAATATTTAATTATGAAATTTGGTGTTTCGTTTTACAATAAAATTGTCAATTTATAATCTCATACTTTAAAAGTAATATTTAGAAAAAATAAAACATATTTAGAAATCATCATAATATTATTATAATATTGATTATTACATTAAGAATATTCTTTGAAAATAGATTGTTTGCAAAAATATCATAAATGTCAATTGTATGGGAATGCATGTAGAAAAGCACCAGTATGCTTTTATATAATTTGATGGCATGGACAAGACTCTATGATTATCTACAATTTCACAAATTATCACAACCAGGTTATTTTTATTAATTAAATACAGTATACACTAATCATTAACTCCTTTTACCGTATATGCCATATGGACATCCATGTCCACAAATTATATTACAAATTATTTGCAAGCTAAAAGTTTCAATTGAACATAGTATTTTCTAATTTTTAATTCAACATAATTTTCATTAAATTTATAATTTGTTAACTATTTGTCAGTATTGTGTTGAATGGTACTACTGATCACAGAAAGTGGCCCTGTCTCAAGTTAGATATTTATCCGATTTTATAGATATCAATTTGTCCCAATGGTGTGTCTATAGTATAGTCTAAATTCTAAATAAACAAACTATTCAAATAAATAATCCACAAAAATAACTGCTACAGAATTGACTCAATAGTCGACTATTCTTAGAAGTCATTCAATAAAACTTTTTACAAGAATTTTCAAACTTGAAGCACTGAATGCCATCTGATGTGAACTTTTCCCAAATAATTGAATACAACTTTTAAACTTTCTTTACATTAAATTCAAGAAAGTTAATAATAAAATCACATTTATAGTAAACGCTGGTAGTTCTTATGGATTAACTTAATTAAAACTAAACACTATAATTATAATAAACACCTATTTCCTAATAATAGCGATTAAAATATTAGCAAAAAACTCATTGAATACTTGATTAGCTTATGGATGACTAGTGTATTGCACATTTGGTATCTTAAAAAATAGTTTGAACATTGAATAACTGATTGAACAGGTGAATAAATTGATAATAGGTAACTAGCATGGTCAAATGGTGAAGGTTAGCATATTGGTTAGTCCTACAATCTGTGGGAGGCCTACAATGTATGCGACACACCATTACTGGACGACACACCTCAGGCGTCACATCGTATATGAATGGATAGTGTTGTGGATGTTGTGAACGAAACGGTATTATTTGAATGAATGGTAGAAATGTTGGACTGACTGTCGGCTCACAGACTCATACCTCTGAGACACACATCTAATGAGCACTGATTGCACACCAAATGCCATAAGACGGTCACAATGGGCTACCCGTGCGGTAAGTGAACGCAAACCACAATTGACTAACTTTTTGATAAACAAATGAATTGATGATAAAAATGTGATACTCATTGACAAGTGTTTTGAATGCAGTGCTTTCCGTGTAGACGGTTGCCATAGGTTAGTGTGCGGGGAGTCTACAGAAGTAGTTCGCAGAGTGTACGCGTGTAGTGGTGTGTGTGAGTGAGCGTAGGCCAGAGTATGCGGTATGTGAGGGGCTGTGCATGGGTTGAGTGGCGGCTAACGGCCATTGTATGGGTCGGTGTATTGCAGTGCTATTGCAGTGATGCTATGGTATGCTATATATAGTGTACTATTCTTTTGTTCGCATTGGAAAGCATTGCATTGAAAAGCATTGAAAGCAATGACTGTATGACTGTATGTCTGGCTCTCACTGCAAGCCATTAATGTATTTATGTATTGACTCTCTCTCTCTCTCACTCTGTGTATAGTTTTGTGTAAAATATTATAAATAAATAGACATTTAATTGATTGTAAAATAGTAGTGAATTTGATGTGATTTAGTGTAATGTATTGTATAATAAGTGATATCATCTGAAGTGTTAGCATTTGTTTGGTTCATTGAATCGGTGTATCACTGGTTTGCCATTCAATACAATTGATATGAATTTGAAATCATGTTTAAATGCATTGAAAAAATGGTGACTATATTTGAATTGATTGTAAACACGTTTTCATAGATAATTAGCTCCCATTTGACTGATACTAGTTGTCACGGCATTCCTCGTGAGTGCCATCACTTGACTTGACTCACAGTTGACTCTTAAGTGATTCAATGGAAGTGATGTTCAAGTGATGACTGTGTGGTCTCATAGTCGGTGTCTAATGGTTGGTCTCATATGTCTGTTACAGTGAATCCCAACTATGAATGAAGTTGTTTGGCATCAGGAGAGACATCCATCGCTTGCACCCAATCAGAGCCATCACCACAACCCGCACCACAACCAACACTCCCATCATAACCAACACTCCCATCATAACCAACACTCCCATCATAACCAACACAACCATCATTCGCTTCACCCGACGGTCAGTCAGTCCCAGTCAGTCAACCACAGCCGCAGTCATCACAATCACAGCCATAGCCCTCAGGGGCCCAGCCATCCGTCACAGGCATCCCATCACACCGTTATGTTGAATGGACAGACATCGCAATCGGTGGTCATCGCAGCCAACGACATGCAGAACTCGGTTCACAATCAGAAACAACACAATCAGAACTCCATCCGATCTCAAGACGACGCGATGGTCCGCTACTTCTTTCAGAGACCCCAAACGGATCCCGACTTTCAGAACTACAACAAACACACGCGTTGGGCGTTAGGCGATGACTCTGTCCTCGAGGTATGTCGAACTCACCACCACCTCTGCCAACACTCCTATCAATGATTGTTTCTATGTCTGTGTCCAACAGGTCCGGCAAAACGATAACTCCGAACTGGTCTCTGAATTCCAGGCACTGGATCTCGAGACTGATGTATGTATTGCTATGTTTTGTGTCTTTATTTTGATCGGTTTTTCTAGTAATTATAAGTAAACAAAGTTTGGTATTGTTTGCCATAAACAGTGCACTCAATATATGCGACATTTTTGTCGCACAAATCTAATGAAATATTAAAATGCATTGCTTTTAGAAAGTATTGCATTTCGCAAATCCTTTGAATTAGTAGTTATTTATTGCTCTCTCCTCTAAACCAGTATTAAAATGAAGGAAAACTTTAAAAATCCAATGATTTCTGTTTAATTTCTATTTTGTTTTTACTTTTTATAAAAATATTAATTAATAACTAGAAAAATGTGAGACTTAAAGGTCGTTAGCATTGAACGAAATGAAATGCAAATCTAAATGTTTAATAATATCCGGTAATTGTGTCGTCGATGACAGGGTTTTGCGTCGACTAAGAAGATCTGGGGAATGGAGGAACACAACCCCCAAATGAAACACCCGGACGACCCCAAAGGGCTGTTCTTAGGTGAGCCTCAATGGGGTCGGGACTCGACGTGGAGTACGGGCGGCCATACCGAGAACGCGTCGGACCACGCGGTGTCGCAACCAATTATGGTTAACTCGAGAAGGAGTGGTTCCTATCCGGGCAGTGATCCCCCATTAATGCTAAGCCCGCGCTCTAACGACACGGGAGGGCTGGGCGTGAAAATGGTTGAGTACGTGTTGGGCAGTTCGCCCACAACTAAGGACTTGGACGGACGGATGCATTCGCGTCTCAAAGCACTGGAAAAACATCAGAAGCAGATGAAAGTGGGTTACGACGAGTCGAAAATGCATCACAAAGACCCGTCCGGTGCCATCATTCAGAGCAATGGGATTATGCAAAACGGTTTGGACGACGAGAACAAAATGTTTAGTCGGACTCCCGGTTGTCATCAGTTAGAGGACGACAACGAAATGGCCAAAAATCAAATGATAGTCAACGACATGTCCAAAATGAAGCCAAACGACGGCATAATGGGTGGCGGAATGCCTTAAACTTATCTAATATGTGATACTTTGCTGGTCTCTTAGATTTTGTATCCGGTATTCATTTGCTTCAATTCAATGGATAGCCAGGTCTTGACAGCTCTTCTCTCTTGTTAATAGATTTCTATTATTATTATTATTTATCTTAAATTTAATGAAATTATTCTATTAAACAAATATAAGGCTATAAAGTTAAATGTATTGTAATAACAATAAGACGTTGTCTACAAAATTCAATTTTGTGTAATCTATCCATTATTTTAATGTCAAAATAGATAACATCGATATTAATATCTATTTTAATTTCCAAATTCAATGGCTATTTATGTCAATCATATCAGTCCTTCAGTTGACATTAGTTTTGGAGATGAAGAATGATTTGAATCTCTCTCTCTCTCTCTCTCTCTCCTCTCTCTCTCTCGACAATCCTATGAATATTTACTTCATTTCACTTTAATAGTCACATAAAGTGTCAAATAATAATGTATTGAAAGGAGTTTGACTTGAATTAAACGTATATAAAACTACGATTTTGTGATATAAAATCAAATGAATTAAATGCAAGAATATATAAATAAATTGTGCAATGTCATTATTATAAGAATAAATGAAAAATGGAAATCAAATTTCAATCTATTTTAGAGAAAATATATAAATTAGAGAATCGTTAATGTGTTGTGAAATGCAATACATTTTGATTAATAGCAAACATTTGAGTCTTTGAGTCGACTAAAAAACTAAATGCATTTTTAAGTAATAATAAAAATAAGTAATATATATACAGATATTATTTGACTCGGAGACAATTCCTTATATACTTATCTGTCAACATCTACACAGAAACAAAAAATTAATATTACTACCAATGTTTTCAACAAAATTTATGATCGGGAAAACAAATACAATTCAATTATAGAGCAAATGACTGGCGTTTAAATGAATGACTTTTCTTAGTGGTCTTACATTCACTCCAATATAACTTTTATAGTTTTCAACATTTATTTATTTTATTGTAATTTATTTAATCATTTTTAATACAATCAATACTTTAGTTGATTGAAAAATTTAACCACATTTTATTTCACAGAGTTATTTGAAACATATATCATCAGTAATATTTCTTGTTACACAAAGAATTGCCAAATATTTTGAATGCTAATAAACAAAGGATTCATCAAGATCAGCATTTTATCAATTAGATATTTATCTTGTATATTGTCAATTCAAAAAGATAATAAATAAATAAATAATATTAAGTAAATGTACTATAGTTGAATTATTCTAATATCTACTTTGTATAATATATTATTATAAAATTTTAAATTATATATTAGTTTCTCAAATGATTTTAAAATATTTAATTATGAAAAAATTTGGTGTTTCGTTTTACAATAAAATTGTCAATTTATAATCTCATACTTTAAAAGTAATATTTAGAAAAAATAAAACGTATTTAGAAATCATCATATTATAATATTAATTATTACATTAAGAATATCATAAATGTCAATTGTATGGGAATGCATGTAGAAAAGCACCAGTATGCTTTTATATAATTTGATGGGATGGACAAGATTCTATGATTATCTACAATTTCACAAATTATCACAACCAGGTTATTTTTATTAATTAAATACAGTATACACTAATCATTAACTCCTTTTACCGTATATGCCATATGGACATCCATGTCCACAAATTATTGGAACTCCTATTAGTTTCATGCATATTGGGCACTGAGAATTGTTAGATATTGTATTACAAATTATTTGCAAGCTAAAAGTTTCAATTGAACATAGTATTTTCTAATTTTTAATTCAACATAATTTTCATTAAATTTATAATTTGTTAACTATTTGTCAGTATTGTGTTGAATGGTACTACTAATCACAGAAAGTTACCCTGTCTCAAGTTAGATATTTATCTGATTTTATAGATATCAATTGGTTCCAGTGGTGTCTATAGTATAGTCTAAATTCTAAATAAACAAACTATTCAAATAAATAAGCCACAAAAATAACTGCTACAGAATTTACTCAATAGTCGACTATTCTTAGAAGTCATTCAATAAAACTTTTTACAAGAATTTTAAAACTTTTGAAACACTGAATGCCATCTGATGTGAACTTTTCCCAAATAATTGAATACAACTTTTAAACTTTCTTTACATTAAATTCAAGAAAGTTAATAATAAAATGACCTTTATAGTAGACGCTGGTAGTTCTTATGGATTAATTTAATTAAAACTAAACACTATAATTATAATAAACATCTATTTCCTAATAATAGCGATTAAAATACTAGCAAAAAACTCATTGAATACTTGATTAGCTTATGGATGACTAGTGTATTGCACATTTGGTATCTTAAAAAATAGTTTGAACATTAAATAACTGATTGAACAGGTGAATAAATGATTAATAGGTAACTAGCATGGTCAAGTGGTTTGCACCAAGGTTTGCATATTTGTACGTGAAGTGAGGCCTACAGTGTATGCGACACACCATTACTGGACGACACACCTCAGGCGTCACATCGTATATGAATGGATAGTGTTGTGGATGTTGTGAACGAAACGGTATTATTTGAATGAATGGTAGAAATGTTGGACTGACTG